GAGCACTCACATGATTTTTTCTAATTTTATGGTTGGATCTCTGTAATTATTACCAGTTTCCTCACCGAAGTAGTTGTATCAGTTTAGTATAACCTCAGCAGTGAATGAGCTTCCAATCGCCACACCCTTGTTAAACCAGGTTTTGTCAGATTTAATATTTGTCAATCTGATGGATAGTCATGGTTTTAATTCATGTTTCTCTAATTACTGTTGAGGTTGAGCTTTATGTGTTTATTGTTCATTCCCGTTTCCTCTAGTGTGAACCTCCTTATTCGTAATTGTTTTTTACTTGTTGATTCATAGGATGAATTCTTTCTATATTTTGGATGCTGACATTTTGCCTGTTATGTTACTCATACCATCTTTAAGTCAGTGGCTCTTTTCATTTGTCTTTTGTAGAACTGTTTTTTGTTTGTTTGATTTTAGTTTATCAATTTTTTGGTTTGTGCTTTAAAAAAATTTTTATTTAAGAAATCCTTTCTTATATTCCAAGGTCATGAGGATATGTCATGTTTTCTTAAAGTTTATGTTTTGTTCTTCATGTTTAGGCATTAATCTGCCAAGAATTGATTTTTATGTACACAGTGAGAATCTAATATTATTTTTCCATGTGGATAAAATGTTCTAACACCACTAAACAGCCCATTCTTTTCCTATTTTGTCTTTTCCTTTTGAATTAATTTGGGATTTACAGAAAAGTTCCATAAACTGTACAAAAAATTCCTGTATACTTTCACCCAGATTCACGACATGTTAATATTCAATGTTTTTGAATGTACTTGCATGTGTGCTTTCTTCCCCTCTTCTCCTCTCTTCTTCCACACAGACACAATATTTTTTTCTGAACCATTTGAACATAAGTTACAGACATAATGTCTTTTCTCTCCTAAGTACTTCACTGTGTGTATTCATTGAAAATACAACAATATAATTAATTCTCTTTCATTACATCAATGTAATTATCAAAATCAGGATGTTAACATCAATAGACTTGTATCTATAGGCCCTATTCAAATTCTGCTAATTTTCTAACTAATGTTTTTTAAAGCAGAATACTAATAGTTTTGGTTTTGGGTGTTTTTTTTTTTTTTTCTGATTTTCTGTCAGGTTTACATTTGGTTGTGATGTCTTTCTAGTCTCCGTTAATCTGGATTCCTGCTGACTTTTAATGCCTTTAATATATATCCTTTTTTCATATATGCATGTATCTGTTTTGAGGCTTTTCTCTCTCATTAGTCTGTTTGTCAGTTCCTGCACTAATTTCACATTATCTTATATCTTTGGCTGATGATAAAGGTCTTAATATCTAAGGAAAGTATCCCCTCTGTTTTCTTTTTCTTTAAAAATGTTCTCCAAACTCTTGGCTCTCAAGTCTTTCATAAGAGTATTAGTCAAGTTCCAGGAACAATGCTATTGGAATTTCAGATTAAATTGAAAGAATCTGTAGATTAACTTGAGGAGAATTTACATCTTTACAGTGAGTTTCTCATGTAGCTAGATTGCCCTGTTTATTCAATTTTTCGATGTTCCTAATTATGTTTTGTAATTTCTCCACTGATGTCTTGTTTATTCATCCACTCTTCACTTGGATAGTTTCTATTCTTTATGGTGTACCCGGAGAATTTCTTCTTTAATGAGACCTTGTCTCTTTTGGGGTTCTCCTTTCCAGGTGTTCCCATAATACTTTTCACATTGTGTAGTGCTGCTGTTTAATTGTCCTCCTCTCATAAATTGTAAATTTCTTGAAGGCAAACAAAGAGGTTCTAGTCCTCCTGGTATTAAGTGCCCAGAATAGTAATTGCATCTAGTAGTAGTCAAATGTTTATTTAATGAAGGAATGAATACAAAAGTAAATGGATGATGGGCCAGCCGAGTGGCGCGATGGTTAAAAACTGGCTTGGGACGCCAGAGGGCCCCAGGTCGGATCCCACATATGAGGGCCAGTGACACTGCCCTCTACAGCTAAGATGCTGAACAACAGCTCAACCTGGAGCTGGGCTGCCATGAGTCACCAGCGCCGGCAGGTGGGTTGCCGTGGGCTACCGTGTGTAGCCAGCAGCCAGCGTGAGCGACCAGCAGCCACTGTGAGCAGCCGTCCAGAAGCCAGCGACTGATCTGCCTCGCCCAGGAAGAGCACAATGATGGTACCAACTTGGTCCAGTGAAGCAATGTCCTCCACAACTAGACTGAAGAACAAAAGGATAGCAACTTGTCTGTTCTCCTTCCTCCAATTCCCCAATAAAAATCTTAAAAAAAAAAAAAAAGTAAATGGATGACAAAATATAGGTCCCCAATACTTTGCTGCTTAATGTGTGTTCCTCTCTATGGGTGTTTTCATACTTTTTTTAGGAAGATAAGATTAAAATAAAACAAAAAAAAATATTCAAGTATTAAATTTCTGAAAAGTTAGGAAATATTACAGAGAACTTTTATAAATACTTCTATTAACTTGATTTTAAGCACTGCAAAACCAGAAGATAAGTCCCTATTTCTGGGGCTTAAATTTTAAAATTTTCTTTAGTGTTTTTGTTTATATAGCAAATTTCAACAGTATTTTTTAAAATATGTACTGTATTTTAAGTTGTACATACTCTGTAGTCTTCCTAATTTTTTTCCCCTGGATTTTGAGATGTAGTATACAGGAACAGAAACAATGTTGTGCCCAGGTTGGGAAATTTGATTTTAGTTTTATTGTTGTTTTTTTTTTAAATTGGAAATTGGGGGAGGGGGATAGGCAAGTTGCTTGTCCTTTAGTTCTTCAGTCTAGTTGTGGAGGACGTCGCTTCACTGGTTCATGTTGGTATTATCATTGTGCTCTTCCCGGGTGAGGCACATTGGTTGCCGGCCATTGGACGGCCGCTCACGGCGGCTCTTGGCAGCTCACGCTGGCTGCTGGCAGCTCACGCAGGCTGCTGGCCGCTTATGCTGGCTGCCAGCCCCTCAACAGTAGCTTATGGCAACCCACTGCAGCTCCACTGCAGCCTACGCTGTAGCCGGCAACTCACAGCAGCCCAGCTCCAGGTCGAGCTGTTGTTCACCATCTTAGCTGTAGAGGGCACAGCGTCACTGGCCTACATGTGGGATTGGAACCAGGGCCCTGCTGCTCAGAGCTGGCGTCCCAAGCCAACTCTTAACCAATGCGCCACTCGGCTGGCCTCTGATTTTAGTTTTGACTGAGCTACTGTTGCCATGATCTTGAATGAATTACTTCATGTCTTTAGTCTTTATAAAATGTGGCTCTGCTCATATCTGCTCATCATACCTCAAAAGATTTTTCCTGTATTCAGATAGATGGGTGTATGAGAAAGTACTTTGAAAACTATAAAATGATGTTTTATGTTATTTCCCTGGATAGGAGTATTTTGCTTTGAACACACCCAGTGTGTGTTATATGGAAATCTCTTTAGCAGAGTTCAGAACAGCATTCATTTTGTCAAAGTTGCTCCACAGTTGATCAGGATGTGTTCCTCATCTTCCAGATTTGCAGTGACTGGAGACAATATAGCAGGAGCTAGTTAGGGAAGTGAGTGCTATCCAGGACTATTTGGGTTCCATGTGGAGGCAATGGAAAATAATGACTAATAGCTTGGGCTTTGAAACCCCAGTGTTCATCCCGACTCCCTCACTCACTCTCCATGTTATTAGGTTGAACTTTATGAAATTACTGTTTCTGTTTGTTAAAAAGATGCCTGAATATCAGCAGTTACCTTCATAAGGTTCAACCCACTAATTTAAGCCTTAGTTTTCTTACCTTGTGAAATGGTAATGTTAATAAGTTGCAAGGTGAGATTTAATGAAATACTTTTACTTGTAAAACTTACAGCAAATGTCTGTCACATAGATGCTCTATAAATACAAGTTATTTTTAACCAAGGCAGCTTGTTGGAGGCTTGAGGAGAACTCAGTATTCCCAGAGTGTGGCAGGAACCAGAGAACTAAAATTATAGGTGAGACTTTTCACAAGTTCCATCTTAACAACATGAGCCTTCAGGTTTATTGAAGAGTGACAGAAACCCATGTGCCTGAGAGAACTCTGCAGGGGGCAGGTAAGCAGCCTGGTCACCCCGTAAGCTGGTTGCAACAACCTGGAAGGGCCAGTGTTTCCACTGCATATGTATTCCAGATACACTCTTCCGTAGTTTGTTCCTTAGACACTCTAGGCAGTCGGGGGAAGCCAACCTGTGTCTTCATATCGACCAGCTAAAGTCGGGTTTACTAAGCAAGAAAAAATTTATTCCATTCCTACAGGTGGTTTCCTTTAATTTTTGAGTAGGTGACGATTCATCAGGTAAAAAAATGTGAATGTGTACCTATTCGTCTCTTCCAACAAGATTCTTCCAAATCTACACTTCCCTCTTCAAAACTGTGTTACCTCTCATCCTTTTTTTTTAGGGTTCAGAACTTTCTTAAAGATAATTAGTTGCAAACTGATATTAAATTTGCTTTGCTATTATTTCTCATATGTTTGTATGGATAGATTGACAGATTTATTACTAGTCAAGGTCTTATTTATGCTTTTTCCCCCCTATAACTGTTTCAAGTTATAAAATTTATAACTAAATTTGTACTAAAATTTATGAGTTAAAATTGGGAAATCCAAGCGGCGCCCGGCTAGCTCAGTCGGTAGAGCATGAGACTTTTAAAATTGGGAAATCCTTATTTCAAATAAATACATTCTAATGTTTATTTAGCAGTCTTTGCACACTTATTTTTGGTATCATGGGAATTAAAGGCAAATAATTAGGCATCCGATATTCTTGATATTAAAAACTGGAAGCATGCTTTCTAGGTTGCTTGCATTCATAGTTTTGCTTATCAATTATTTTTGTCTTATCTCTTCTTAGTGGAAGTTCATTGTAATATAAAGGGGAGACTAGATTAGTGGGAAGCCTGGAGACTTGGGTGTTTGACTTGGTTTGGTGACTAACTGATAGTTAAGTGACTTTAGGATTATCACCTAACATTTCTTGGTGATAATTTTCTTTCCTCTGACGTGTTAGGTTTTGGAATGGATGATCTCTGAGGTTTTAGTGGACTTAAAAAATTGACAGCATTTAAAGAGTATCAGCTAGAAAGGGGTGAGTATATGAAGATCCCAAACTAAGGGTATTAAACTATTTAAAACTTTTAAAAAATAACACACACACACACACACACACACACACACACACACGACAAGCAGAACTATAGAAAAAGGCCCATAGATCCAAGAGATCTAGAGGGCAGCTAATGTACACACTGCAACCTTTGTGGGGCAGCATCCCTGTCTGTGGCTTTGTTCTCTTCACAGGCATTAGTGGTTGGTTGAAATAAAACCAGAATGCCGTAGCCCTGAATTTGAAAATGTAGCTCACAATTTTGTTTTGTTTTTGAGTCTTATACTTCAAAAACAAATAGTCTTAGCTGCTGTAACCTTTTAAATGTTAGCATTGCCAATAATTGGTCCAGTAACCTCAGAACTATTTTCCCAGAATGCTATATAGAGATGATGAAAAGTTTATCACTTTTATGACACTTACGTAAAGAGAAACATTAAATTATACATTGTTTACTTGGTAGTTTTAGATGCTTGTAATGGTCACCTGACTGAATTGGTTATGAAAAGGAGGCAATGAAATTCAACATAAGTTTAGAATTATTCTTTGGAATGACTGCATAATTGTAAGGGTAATTAAACTCATTTAAGATTACTTTAAAAAGCAATTCCATGCTAATATATTGTGGTGATCATAACTGTACAGATATTGGAAAATAGCAATTATCCCAATGTTATGTGAATAGAAACTAAGATGAAATTTCCAGGGGCCACTCTATAGGGTTGTATGAAAAGCTTTTATTCTCTCACAGTTTAGATGGAGATAAGTAGAGTTTTATGTAATTCTACTTAATATGGACACTAAAATGATTATAACCAACATTTATTGTTTCAGTTAGATAACCTTTAATTTTCACAATGATTCTGTGAGGTAGGAACTATTGTTATCTCACTTTTACATGGGAAAACTGCTGAGGGTCATATGTCAAGTGGGCAGTAGAGCTGGGAGCTGGACCTGGCCAGTCTGACTCCTAAATCTGTGTGAGAATAGGCTGCCTTTGAAGCTTGTGTTATATAGTACTACAAGCAATGGTTAATGGTTAAGAGTGACCATGTGGTCTAGAAACTGGTAGGTCATTTAACTTCTTCAAACGTCAGTTTCCACAAGTGTAAAATGGTTGCTTTTAGAATTAACTGGGATAATTTATTTAAAATAGCATACAATGTATGCTAAACAAATTGTTATTAATAATCACAGTAGTTGTAATAATGACTCTTGTTTTTGTGATTCATAACAGCTCCATATTTCTGTGGCCCAAGGTTTTCAAGTGTTAAGTTCAGTACATAAAGTGGGTAATGTTTTAGTTTTAAATTACAGTAGTTATTGACTTTTCATTGTAGGTCCAAAACGATTATTATGAATTAGTAAGTGAAAGAGATGTTTTGGTTTCAGAGTACAAAATAACAGTCTCTTTAAAGGAGATGTCACTTCTTTCTTTGTGCCTCAATTGTGTGTGCGTGTGTGTGTGTGTGTGTGTGTG